GAGGGGCAAAAATTATGGCAGTTTAGCCCTCTAATCACTGCTTCTGTGTGTGGGTGCAAGTAAAAATTTACCCCGGAGAAATAGAGCCGGTCAAAGTTAAAACCCTTCCTGAGGGAACAAAAGTCAGTCATTCAAAGTAACAGCAGTGGTCTACTAAAGGAAAATTTTACCCGCTCGGGAAAATTAACTTGAACTCTATTTCTCCGAACGGTTTCCGTTCTCGAGATTTGTCGATAATTTACGAATGGAGTGGCCCGCGCGCGCGTGTGTGTGTGTGAAGTGGGAATGTGAGTGAGTGTGCATATATGTGTGTGTGTATAAGGTGTGAACGGGATGGGGGCATGGAGGGATTTTTTTTTGTTTACCTGAGAAGTATTTTAGTTTTTGCTTTAGGGATGACTTTTAAATATATATATAGTATATGCAAAATAGGTTACTGCCAAGGTCGAGCAGTCTTGTTTTCTGGAAGTACCTTTTAAAGGCATTTTCAAAATCTATTCCGCGAACGTTGTCCCAACCACAACTGAAATTTTTACATTTAAAAATCTCTAGCTCTAGAAATTGAATTCGATGCAAAAAAATGCTTCTTCCCAGTCCTCGCAGAGTGGCAGAATGAAAGATGACACCTAAATCTCGAAAATACCCAAAAAATCTCGAGAACGGAAGCAGTTTGGAGAAATAGAGACCAGGTTTATTTTCCCGAGCGTTGGGAGAAATAGTCACTTTGCTTAACTTTTCTTAATTTCGGACTGAACCTTTCCAATTGATCAATGCTTTTGTACCTCTGACAAAGCAGGTTTAGACTACTCTGACAAAGCAGGTTTAGACTACTCTGACAAAGCAGGTTTAGACTACTCTGACAAAGCAGGTTTAGACTACTCTGACAAAGCAGGTTTAGACTACTCTGACAAAGCAGGTTTAGACTACTCTGACAAAGCAGGTTTAGACTACTCTGACAAAGCAGGTTTAGACTACTCTGACAAAGCAGGTTTAGACTACTCTGACAAAGCAGGTTTAGACTACCTATTAATAGAGTTATTTAAAATCCTTTAAATTAATGTTGTACTGAAACTTTGATTTTCAATTTTTAAAATTGCTTTGACTTTGAGCTCAGATTGCCTTTCCCTGTTTTCCTTTGTTAAGTAGTATTCATAATAATAATAATGAAGATCATTTCTATAGCGCCCACTCCCGTGTAAACACAGCTCTAGGCGCTTTACGTAAATGCATGTAAGAACAATATTCATGCACGCGACACACACACACACACACACACATAGATACACACACACACACACATAGATACACACACACACACACACACACAAATCCACACCATATACACACAAACACACGCATACACACTCACGAACACATAACACGCACACATGTGCACACACATGTATGCCAAACACACACACACACATACACACACACACACACACACACACACACACACACACACGTACACACACACACACACACACACATCTACTTGCTTATCACGCGCAACAGATTTTGCAACTGTTGTTCCCTTTTGACGTCACTAATACTTTTCTTTACTTGTGTCGAAAATTTTGGCCAGATCGTGGAAACCAAGGAAGGCCAAGGTCGAATTGCCTGTCCGCTTCACATCCGGTACATCCGTTGATTGTGCACACGCATCGGAGTTCTGAGTCCAAATAACCACCGGAGGCTATTCAGAATCGTGTCCGAATATCTGCAATCTTTGGGGTATAGCCAGCCTGTTGGGGAGGAATTCTGTAACGAGCAACCACTAGACCTCGATCTAGATCTAGATCTAGATCTACATTATATTATTATAATTGTGAGTATAATTTATAATGATTTGTTAGTCTCTATGACTATGACATGCAGTGGTCTATGTGAAATAGATAGATAGAGGGTAAAGTTAAGGTTAGGGTTGGGTTAGGGTAGTAGGTCTTTTCTTGTGTTTGGTGGGGTGGTTGCTCGTCTCGGAAGTCCTTCCGAATAGTTAATCACAAAAAGCCTGTAAAAGCTAGAATCTATCATACAATAGAAGTTGCTACAAAAGAAAGAAATGCTCTACTCTAACAGTAACAGGAAAACAAAACTGGATCAAATTTGCCCCAAGCCAATTGTTTATTTTATCAATGTTTTGAAATTATGTCTTTTTTGTTTGTAATTTGGGGGGGAAAAGTGTTTTGGTGCTCACAACTGCATAAAGGCCATTCGAGTCATCCAAAGATTCTGCATGATGTCAACGAGATGATACAGTAGTCTCCGCCTAAGATCCCAGTGCTCGGGAGCAAGGAAATGCGGGATCTTAGGCAAACCGCGATCTTAACCGACGAACCCCCGGAAGAATCTATTATGACCCATGTTAAGGCTCACAATCTGTCAAATGGTCTCCTTTCACTCTAAAATGAACTGACGTGTCCCCTGGGTGGGTTTATGACATATGGCGCGCAAAGAGTGGTTAACCTTGATGGCATATCACAGTGCATAGAAGCATGAGAAGTGCCATTTTCACTTATTATCCTATCACGAGTCTCACTCAAGATCTACGCTTATCCAGTTGCCCCTCCCCTTTACCTGTCGAAAATTTATAACTTTCCATCTCTGACCAAGTCTCCCCCCCCC